CTCTCTCTCTCTCTCTCTCTCTCTCTCTCTCTCTCTCTCTCTCTCTCTCTCTCTCTCTCTCTCTCTCTCTCTCTCTCTCTCTCTCTCTCTCTCTCTCTCTCTCTCTCTCTCTCTCTCTCTCTCTCTCTCTCTCTCTCTCTCTCTCTCTCTCTCTCTCTCTCTCTCTCTCTCTCTCTCTCTCTCTCTCTCTCTCTCTCTCTCTCTCTCTCTCTCTCTCTCTCTCTCTACATCTGAATATTTTCAAACACATACAGATTTAAAATATGAGACACCAATGTTTCAGGAGTTGAGGACACAGAATAGGACAGATGATTATTCGATCACTGTTTTATTTCCTATTTTGGTTTGCATTATTTTATTTTTTTTTTAGATTAACTTTCTTTTTTTTTCCAAGGCATTGTTAGATGCCAGTGATTCCTGTCATAACTATGCAAAGATTTGATTTCAAAAACAGTATCATAACTATTAAACTATGTCTTATGATTTTAAATCTGTGTTTAACCTCAAAAAGATCTTAAAGTATAAAGAAGTGCTAAAGTCCGATTTTGAGGTGGCTGTGCTTTACAATTAAATTATTATAATCTTAATTCAAGTGTAGAAGGATTCTGAAAGTCTGACAGTTATCAGTGTTGAACACTACTGTAAGGTTAACCCTGCCTGCTTTAAATGTTTGAAAATGATTAACAGTTGAAGATTTTAGAAAAGTCATCAAATGTAATCAGTTACATTACTTTCATAAAGTAACTAAAATAGTTACACTACATATTACATTTTAAATAGGGTAACTTGTAATCTGTGACCTATTACATTTCCAAAGTAACCTTCCCAACACTGTATATACATACAGAAGCACTTCTGAAGTGACATTTAAGTGTCTTTACACAGACAGTTTAACATCTTGAAGGTGGCATGAATGCATTTGCATAGCAATGATAATTGTATACTGTGATACTTGTGGTTGAGGTGTGTCAGAGCAGGCATAATTTAATCTGGCTTTTATGCAGCATTGCGTCTTTACACTGAATTTTGAGCAGGCACAGAGCAGCCTTAAATCAGTGGGATTTAAAATAGGATTTTTTTTTACAGTGAACATGCAATTTTTATGATCCCTCTTATGCCAAATTCACACTGCAAAGGTGGCACAGAAGCGCCTCTGAAGTGGCATTTAAGTGTCTTTACACAGACACTTAAGCACTAATGCATACTGTAAAACTAGGGGCTAAAGTGGGTAAGAGAAGGCATAATTTAGTTTGGCTTTACACTGAATTTTACACTGAGCAGGAACAGAGCAGCCTTAACTTGTCTGCATAAAAACGGTGTTATTTTGTCAAAATGATTAACATTTCACAAATTCATTCTGCATGTAAACTTATGACCACGTCTATGCATATTATATAAAGTGGAAACAGTAGGATGGTAGTATGTTTCTGAGCCCAGGACCTGAAGGGCTACACAGCTCTCGTCGCTAATGACAAAGCCCTCCCACATTCTTTATCTCATCACTCTGTGAGGTTATGCAGAGCTGTCCATTACTGCCAGGGCCAATCAATCACTTCCTCCTTTGGGATGCTTCTCTGGGTCTCATTAACAGGCTGAGGGCAAGCAGCGTTTGGCAAAGGGCAGATGTGAAAGAGATGAAGAAGTGGTGGGGTTTGTACCAGATGAGAAGGAGAAAGAGGCAGAGTCGAGGCAGCTCTGTTTTCTATTTGTGGGGATTAGACTGACAGATCTGTATTTGGTTACGGAGGGGCCTCTGGCTTCATCTAATCCTCATCACCTGCAGACCGGTGCCCCCCACCCTTCAAAAAGTCTCAAACTCCTCCTTCTGTGGCCTTATAACCCTGCACTTCGGCCCAACAAAGCAAACCCTCAGCCTCAGACACAAGCCTCACACTTTGTGAGATTGACTACAACCTCAGCCCAGAGGAAGAGAGATAGTCTATCTCTTTGTACCCTTTCAAAATCTATTAGAGCCGGCTGTGAGGTGTTGCTGTGTTGGTTTTTGAGAGATAGCAATTATCTGTAGATTAAACTCAAGTGTTACGGAAACTACTTGTCAATGTCACTCAAGAAAAGAGGAGAAGATGCCCAGATGCTCAGCGAGGAGCCGTAAGAAGGTTTTCAGGTCAGGTCAGGGGCAAGGACCTCTGTCTCACTTAGTCTCACAATTTTTTTCACACATTGTCAACAAGATCAGATCCCTCTCAGTACTAATGACATAAAATTCTGCTACTTATTAACTAGCTTCATACTTTGCTCAGTAAAAGCACAACAAGAAATAACAGCGGTATTCAAAGAATTTATCATACTGCATGTAATGAAAGGCCACTTAAGTGTACTTTTAAGTAAATCATTGTTTTAATAATCTTTTGTTGTGCTTCAAATAAGTACACCTATGTGACGTAACATGTTCACTAACATACTAAAATACATGTTAAGTACCTTATAATTTTAACAGTATGTACAGACACTTTCTGCTTTTGTCATCACTACACAAAAACTAGATGCCGAAATGATTTTTCACATTATATTTATTTTGCTTATGTACTAAAATATCATAAACTAATAATAGCCATAAGTAGTTTATATTTTCCACAATTATCTCATAAACATAAGGTTCATTTTTGTCTCAACTGTTCCCATATACTGTACAGCTGAAACAGTACCATGGTACAGTTGAGACACCCATTCTTAATGCTCTAAAGCTGGCTAACCATTTATTTCAAATAAAATAAATTACAGTTGTGCAATTTTTTTAAATTCAGGTTTATTTATTTGCTTTATTTAATTCAGATTCAGTTAAACAAAATAGGAACAAAATATTTAATACGCTAACTTGCTGAAAACCACTAAACTGTTTTCCACTTACAAACAAGCAAACAGTGACAACCACAGCGAGACAAAACATTTGTAGCCATTTTGACTACGGTTCAAATACTTCATTTAAATGGCTGACCAGTTTACTGATGTACATAAGTTAAGAGAGAGTCTGGAAAAGGCTGACAAATGCCAGGAGGACATCAGCAAGTGACAGCAGGAGCAGAAATATCATGTGTTATTTCTACTTTACCTCCACTCTGGTCTGTTTGGGCATTATAATCGTATATAACTTCTCCCCATCACAGACAGGATGTTTTGACGCGCATTGAGAGAGTCGTTCAGACAAAAGTCATCAACGTCTCTAAAGGTGAAGCACCTGTGCTGAGAGTAATGAATGGATCCAGCTGGGCATGTGTGTGTGTGTGTGTGTGTGTGTGTGTGTGTGTGTGTGTGTCAAGTTTATCTATCTATGTATCTATCTATCTGTCTGTCTATCTATCTATCTATCTATCTATCTGTCTGTCTGTCTGTATATCTATTTATCTATCTGTCTGTATGTCTGTATGTCTATCTATCTATCTGTCTATCTGTCTGTCTTTCTCTATCTATCTATTAAATTCAAATTCAAAATTGCTTTATTGGCATGACTGTAAAAAAAATACAATATTGCCAAAGCTTGGAATATATAAACATTTGAAACCACAGTATTTAATATATAAACATACACATGCTGAGGGTCACTGTGTTAGACAGTAGGGAAACACACTAAGGTCAGATACACACACTATACACATTCACCTGCTGTCTCTCAGGCTGTGGCTCATCCACACATATCTCACAGCCAGTGCTGCTGTCTGTCCCTCTCCTACTACTATCTTTATCTTCAGTCATGGCTGTAAAATTCTTAATGATGTTTGTGAATTTGTTCATGTATAGTTCTCTTATTGATTTAAATTTGTAACAGTGAAGGAGGAAGTGCGTCTCTGTCTCGGTCTGTCCTGTCTGACAGTGAGTACACACTCTTTGCTCTCGGGGTAACCAGCTCTTTTTGTATCTATCAATCTATTTATCTATTCGTCTGTCTGTAGTACTTCGTCTGAACCTTTATCCTTTCAAATTAAATAACTTCCTGACTCTAAATAGGTGTTATTTCATGAGAGGATTAACCCCACCTCCCCCCTCTCGCTCTCTTGGACATAGACAGACTTAAAATCATCTGAAGAGGTTTTCACTGTGCTCACTGTGTAATAGCTCTTGTGCAGAACAAAGAAAACTGTCTGGTCAGATCTACATCAACCCTCCCTAAGGCTTAAAGCACGTTTCATCTGGGCCGCTCTGAGGCCAGGGGCCTAACGACTTGGAGAATGCCTTGGCTTTTGCCTTATTGCTGTTATAAAGGCATCCTTCGGGCAAGCCTAATGACTGATAGTTTTAATAGATATGATAATGAAACACTCATTTAAGTGAATCATTTCATCCCGCACAACAATAAACCAGAAATAAAACTTCGCAGTACAGTTTTCCCTTAGTAACATTTGGTTATGATCATCATAAGATTTCTTTGATGACACATCGAGATGTTTTCCCCAAAACATTTCACCCGTACACGCAGACATGAAGTAACTCCTGAAGTCATCTTCATTTCTCATGCATATTTCAGAGCATGTTATGACTATTACTGATATTAGCCAACAAAAACGAATTGTCAGAAAATAAATAAGAGGAAATGGAAATGAATAAAACTGAGGTTGCTATTACTTTCAGATTTCACAAGTCTGTTCGTTTGCCCTTCATCAGCCACCAGATTTGGTAAGATCACCCTGGTTTTTACATTTACAGATAATTTAATTATCTACAAATCTACAAATGTAGTTTTTTTAGTACAAGGATATATACAAACTTAAAGTAATCTGATGTACATTTTTTGCCTGGCAGACAATAAAACAGGCAATAAATCTTGCATTAAAACATGGGCCAAGTCATATAGAGACCAAAATACACTGTGAGAAAGAAATTCATAGAAAAACAGAAAAAGTACTTTCAGGATATTATCTATTAAGTTAACACAATGCAATGTGTAATTCAAAATATAAGTAAAACACCTATGAAAATTCAATACAGAAAATTCCTCCGTGTTAACGCAGTACATTTGGCCCTGTTTTTATGAGCTTTTCTTAGAGTGTATCATAGAGGCTCTTTTGACTTGAGCCAGTAAGTAACCTCTCACAACATCCTAGCAACTACATAGCAACACACCAAAACCACTAAGAACATCTTAGAAACCATATAGCAGCCCTCTGGCAACCACCTGCACATAGCATTGTGGTAGTGAGTTTTGCACAGGCAAAAAGGGCAAAAAAAGTAAAATTCTAGTTGGAGCTAATATTGTCAGATATGACTGCATCTGATATGTTTCTGTTTTACAGCCCTGATTTTGAAGCTCTCGTCTGATATTTACAAACTTGTACAAAGTGACTCCTATGCTACTAAAAAAAGGTAAGTGATATTCAATAAGAAAAACTTAAGTAAAAATGTGGTGACCATTTTTTAAAACTTTTTACCTCCAGTAGGTCATTTTACATGGTCATGCGTTGAACCAATTTTTTTTTTTAAAGTACAAATATCCATGTTACATATTTTCTTCTATAAAAATGCTAAAAGAATGAGTAAAATGCTGTGTAAAATAGTGTTAGAGTGCAGCTTGTCGTACTGCAGGACAACTATTTCATGACAACTACCCAAGATCTATATTTTGGCAGGTTTTACTCCAGCAACTTTTAGTTATTGCCTGTTTCATGTCTAAATATTTAACATTTTTGTCAGCTTTTGCAGACCGTTTCATTCAAACCACCTGTGGATATAAGTGATGATATGATTATAAATCAGCAAACAGCATCATAAATCATCTGATATAGGGATCAGGTGGAACCTTTGATTTTTATGACTTGATTTGTCAAGTGCATCTTTTCTATCCGTCAGGGACATATAGCTGCTATAATGATCCACAGCTGTTTGGGTCACAGAGGACCTTGGATTCCATCGTGGATGGCGTTTCATGCATGCTCAAGGTTCCTCGCAGGAGTTTGCATGTGATACGTGCATGTGTGATATTTGAATTTCTGAGACTTTTATACACTCACTCTTATACACTGACTTTTGCATATGCACTAAAGAGAATGTGTTCACAGTAAATCATTTCTTTTAATAATCCTCACAGCTTGCAACATCCAAAGGCTTCATCTCAGGTGATCTGTGTTATTTGGAGGAAGATGGCACAAAGGTGGACTGCAGTTCCAGCTCCACTGTCAGTCCAGATCGCCAGCCAACCTTTCTGTAAAACTCACTTAATGATTTATATAATCCCCTTCTGCCCACAAGCGTTCATCTATAATTCTATTGGCAACATTTTTCGACTGTATCTGTCAAACATTCACATCAGTAAACTCGAATGCTGTTCCACTTTACCACTGGTCTGACACACCATTCATTTGTCATTCAATCTGTCCTTTTTTCTCCCTAGGTGTTTCTGGTGTCTTCCAATGTTAATGGGATCAGAAGTATCCTTCCTGTTTACTTTAACCATGTCATTAAATGAATGCCACCATACGCCCTTGTGGTGATCTATCTTTCTGTTTGTCTCTAAAGCGCTGTGCGGGCCAGTGTTTGGACCAATTGTTTTAGTATTATTTATATACTATTAAAGTATTTATTCATATTTTGAATTATGTTTTATTTTTACATTTTCATTTTTCATTGTAATTTTAGTAATTTTGTTATTTTGTGGTTTTGTCATTTTTATTTGTTTACATATATATATATAGATATAGATATTTTATATATTATTTTATCTATATTTCTATCTAGAATTAAGTTACTTTTATTTCAGTACTTGTTTAGTACAACTTAAATTTTATTATTTCAGTTAGTTGACAAGGCAGCTTTCTAATTTAATTTTGTTATTTTTAGTTTAATTTTTACTCTTTTTTTTAAGTTTAGTTTTCATCTAATATTTATATTTGATTTGATTTCAGCTTTATTTCAATTACCAAAAAATTATTTAACAGTTTTAGTTAAAAAATAACAACACTGATTTGGACGGTAATTATCTTACAGAGGGACATCCTGTCTGAATCAGAAATGTCTGTGTTTTTCTCCCATTACCGAAGACAAAACTTTGGAAATCTTTTCTAATCACTGCCAAGTGCCTTACGGTTGTTATGTGCAGTAATGTATGGATTTTTGGCACAATGGAGTCTTGTATCACTGACATTTTTTTAAATTATTCACATTAAAGTTACGTCACTGCTGCACAAAATGAATGGGAGCTTTTAAAGGGCCCTTTTAAAGCATTTTTATCAGCTGTTTGGACTCTCATTCTGAAGGCACCCATTCACTGCAGAGCATCCATTGGTGAATAAGTGATGTAATGCTACATTTCTCCAAATCTGTTCTGATGAAGAAACAAACTCATGTTAAAGTCACTTCAAAAACATGTTCCCTGCAAAATGTCATTTATGCTCAGTAAAGTCAATTAACTTTGAACACACATGCACTTAATGCAAAGTCAACAAACACAGGCGCACTCAGAGCTGATGGTTTCTTTGAGAACAACCAGCCCTGCAGTGATTTTCATTTGTGGCAGGTCCAGTATGGTTTAGCATGAGGAGCGTTGAGGCCCCTGCTATTTCTGACACTGTCATTATCAATGACTCCAGCGCTCTCTCTACATGTGTAATGCTTTACTTTGTTCTAGGGTGAATTAAGCTGTCCCAAAGGATAATTGCAAGGGTATGGTAGTGATTGCAGAATCAGTCTCTCTCTTTTTTTTCCCAGGCATCGAGATCATGTGCATCTACAAGTACGGCTCACTGGTTAAGTCCTGTTTCCTGCTATTTCTGTGCAATTTCCAGTGAGGCTTTTGCATTGCGGGGATGTGTAATTATTCTTCTCTCTTTGTGGCAAGACAAAAAAGAGGAAGCACTCGTTCGTGAACTTAAAATTTACCCTGTGGAAAAAGTAAAGCGTTTCTACATGTGTGTGACACATTTGTATTATAGTATGGGACTACAATTTGGCTGTTTAACTCACATTCACATGCAGAATCCTGTAAAAATAATTTTCTTAATGAGTATTTCTGTCATTTTCCAATAAAAATGTATAAATATCCTTAAATATATTATAAATATAAGTCTTTTATATTTACTTGAGAAGCAAAATTTGTAAGATAATTAGACAAATAATAAGATAATACGTTTTCGGACAGTCAACAACACTACCGTT